TATATTATATTTGTTTAATGTGCGGAGATCATTAATAAATTAGAGATATAATAGGTACACTTATTATCCATAAAATTTAAAGGAAAAGTAAAGTTTTAATACCTAGTACTTAAATTATAGAAAATTTACAAGAACCTTAAGTTTAGGCTCCATTTTATAACTTAATATAAAAAAAATGATCAAGTTAAATAAAATTATAATAACCCGTTAAATTTAGATACAACTAATACTTCAAGTATGTTAAATTGTTTACCTAGGATATAGATCTATATCGACGGCGTACAAAAGGACATTTAGCTTAACGAAAATATAAACAAGTTATATAACATACCCTTAGAACAGAAAATATGCGTAAAAATGAAAAATACATTTGTTCTAAACTCTAAAAGAGTAGAACCAAAATTATAATAAAGTTAAATTAAAAAAAAAATAAGCATTACTGCATTTCATGCTATTATAATAAAATGAAAGTTCTTACGGATCACACTGGGCTCTATTTTATGTCTGGATGGGGCATATGAACTCCCACACCCTATTGAGCAGCACTGGGGGGTTGTTGGTCAACAACACCTAATGGGAAATTGGAAAACGTTGATCGGGAATCAGCAGATCCCATGACTCCAGCAGTTCCGCAGCTCTGGGCATCACTCATAGCAGTATGTCCTTGCCCCAGCGAATCAGTACAGGAATCCAACACATCCTTTCTACACAGCATCATGCCTAGATCCCTAATTCCACAGGACATCACTCCTGAAATGATGAGAACCAATATCCAGAACCGAACAAGGGTAGAAGTCGGTATTTGTCTCGTGGACACGTTCTGCAACAGCAAAATGGAGGACACCAACGCCCACATGAGATCGTCCTTCATGAACAGCAGAGTTGCAGGTGAAACTAGGACCCTAATAAGTTTCGTTTATTAATAATCGCCAAATAGAAATTGTTAAAAACATACCCTTCGCTGCGGGGAGCTATCCAATAAAATTTGCCGGTAGGGCACATGGGCTGGAACACACACACACACACGTGGCTTTTTAATCACTTTCTCTGCCGGCTTTCAATCACCAAAAAGAAAGAATTCTCACCTATCCTCGATTCGCGGTGAAAAACTGTCAGTTGTAATTACCTGAAGAATCCGTATTTTATAGAAGAAGTAATAATTTAATTTAGTATAAGTCAAAAAGATATTGTTTAATTTTAATATTTTCAATGTTAATTTTTATTAATAAAGAGTTTAATAGTGAATTTAGTTTTAATTTTATAAGTCCTATTGTACAGCTTAGTAGTCACAACCAAAATATTGTTAGAAGTAAATTATAGGAATTAGGCAACTCCCAATACGTTAAAATGTATTGTGAGTTGTCGAACATAAACGTACTAATTAATTTAAATATTTCAATGTTTTATTAAATGTATGTATCTAATAAATTATAGGATAATAAAAAGGTTACAACATAACAAACTGGTCATTCATATAGAAGCAGACTCTAAAATGTAAGAATATCCAAGAAAACAAATGTTTAAAGTCCAAAAACAACGAGTTTTATTAATTAAAATACAGAGCATTGCTGAGATGCTAATTCTATCAATTACAAAGCGTGACTGACTTATCCACTCCAAACCCGAATTTCGCCTACATAACAAGTTAAAATAGCGCCAACATCAATCAAAGCGTATCATGGTAATATAACCAATCGAAACCAAACATATTTTTAAAACTATCTTACATTCAGCCTTTCTGAATTTAAGATGTCCTCATCATAACTAAACAAACTATTATTTTAAGTATTGTAACTCTAAAACATAATAAACTAAAAACGACATCAACTTGGTAATAAAAACATTACTCACAGATAATACGAAACACAACAAATTTATTTTTTAAGAGACCTTGTTTCCATACGAGCAAAAGGCAGTCTCAATCCACCAAGACAGTATCGGACTTGAACTATGACAATAACGGTCATTGGGCAGTATCGGCCTACCGAGGCAGTATTGGCCTAGAACTATGACGATAACAGCCATTCGGCAGTATCGGCATACCCAAGCAGTGTTGACCTTAAACTATTGCGTTAACGGCCAAAAGAAAATAAACATGTGATCCATGTTAGCAAAAGGCAGTGTCGGCCTTATCATTAATGGCAGTCACGGTTATCACATTGGGCAGTACCGGCACACCAAGGCACTATCGGCCACCAAGGCAGTATCGGCCCCCCACCAAGTCCTTGAACTATGACGATAACGTCCATTGGGCAATATCGGCCCACAAAGGCCTTGAACTATGGCGATATTACTTATTGTCACGATTTATTATACACAAAAATATACAACTTTTCTAAATAATGTCCTATCAACGGGCAAACACTGGATTCAACATCCAACCTCCAATATGTAAGAATGTCCAAGAAAACAAATGTTTTAAAGTCCAACGAGTTTAATTTACTAAAATACAGAGCAACGCCGAGATGCTAATTCTATCAATTACGAAACTTGACTGACTTATCCATTTCGCTATCAAATTTTTCCATCATAGCAATCATGGTAATATAAAAAATCGAAACCAAACTTATTTTTAACACTGTGCCTTAGAGAAACCTATTTTTTCAACATGTTGCTTACAGCTCTGGGGCTGCGCCATATCAATCAACATAGTATCCACTAAAAATTCTTAAAACAAAGTACTTTGAAACATTTTACTGATTTATTTTATATCTGAGACAAAAGACTGCACAGGGATTTTGACGTACTAACGATATTTGCTCGAAAACATAAAGCAAGAGTTCACAATCCTGTTCACAGCCAGATGTTCCAGCTTCTCGATCAATATAACATTGCTACTGTTATTTTTTTTGGACCCCAATTGTGTCATTGTAAATGTTTTTTATATGATACTAAATGTTTAGAACAGTGGCAGCATATATATCGTGCCTAGTGCCGATAAAGCACTTTCTAGAGATGATGCTGTTCTATACTTTTTAGAAGATATTATCAAATATTATGAGACTATTTTTACTGATGGTACTGTTAGCAAAATAAAAAGGGTAAAGCTCAAATTAAAGGATGAGATAATATCATGTACGTTCCCAAATTTCCCTTTATACTTGTATGACGACAATAAAAAATCTGTTAACTGTGTTTTATTTTACTCTTAAAACTATATATTGGTTCAATTCAAAAAAAAAAAATTGCCACAAAATTGTACTTATCAAATTTCAGCATTTCATTTCATTTCATCAAATTTGTATTTTATATAGATAAAATTAAATAATTTATCAATTAACAGTAAATAACAGTATGCTCTGTACTTTATTTAGCTATAAACAAGTTTATTTTTATTATTTTGACAAAATTATGTGTAATTTCCATAAGAAGCCATGTATTTTGAACACCGTAAGCAGTACCAGCGCCCATGCGGTTAATTATAGAAGCTCAATTAGCATGCGTTTTTTGGGACCTTATTTTGAGTATGCCGATTCGCCTCCTATGTCCAACACATGACTTTCCTATCTAGTTATTATATGCTTTTCCGGTTATTTTGTGCAACCTATTGCAGCACATCTATAAATGTTTAGAGAATAAACTAAATATATACATTTTCCACATACATCTACCTTGAAACATTTTTCTATTTTTATTCATTGATAACGAAAATACTGAAAAATTTAAATTGAGCACTTTTCCTTCAATTTTTTCAATATGGTCCATTTTAGAAAAATCATATAAAAAACAAAAATTATAGAGATCGATATCACAAATAACTTTTTTTTAAACAATTTTCCTAAAAATTTGAACTTTATTATATTTTGTCAAATTTCTCGAATACGGACCATTTAAAAAAAAATGTATAAAACCAAAATTATAGATAATAATATTGTAAGTAATTTTTATCTGAACAATTTTCTTCTCCAAACATCAATAACAGATATATTCCATAAAATATAAAAACGGCCTCCCATAAAGTTCCCCCCAAATGTTCCGCATTCGTCCAAAATCTAATGATTTTACCTCAGGCCAAAATAAAACTTATGTTTAAAATTTAAAGTTTTTTCCTTTATCAGTTTTTGAGTTTTCTTCAAAATTCGAAATTTAAACATTTTCTCAAATATCTTGAATACGGTCCATTTTAGAGAAATTATATATGGAATAAAAATTATAGAGAATTATATTACAAACAACTTTTGTTTGAACAATTTTTATAAAAAAATATTTTTTTTACATTTTGTAAAATTTCTCGAATACAAACCATTTTAGGAAAATTGTGTATAAAACAAAAATTATAGATAATAATATTATAAGTAACTTTTATTCAAAGAATTTTCTTCTCTAAACGTAAATAACGGACATATTTCATAAAATATAAAAATGACCACCAATAAAGTACCCCCCAAATGTTCCGACTCTGCCCAAAATCTAATCAGTTCACCGCAGGCTGGAATAAAGCTTAAGTTTAAAATTTGGTGTTTTTCTTTGTATCGGTTCATGAGATAGTTTAGAGTTAGACAGCGAATTACAAAATATTTAGTCAAATTTTCTTTGTACATTTAAGTGCTAATAAAAGTTTCTGCGTTTATCTTTTTTGGGTCTTTTACATTATTCGGTGACCTTTATTATACCATTGTTACATGTGGAAAAAATTGTCACCCAGATAACTTTTGTCATCTGCAATGAGTCTTGGCTTAATTGAAACCTATGCGTTTTTTTATAGTACATAGTACACATAATACTTTTAACCGATCTTAGATTTTAAAGTATCATCATCAAAAATGATATAAATTTGTTGTGGGCTTCTTTAAAATGTTTAAATTTTGTTCAGACAGTGTTTAGGAACCAAATTATAATGAACCAAATAAGTTAATTCAGCTTCGAAATATAAAATAATTTTGGGCAAAATAGTGGATTTCTGTACCGTAGTGCAATGTAAGGGTTTCTATTCTTTAATAATGAATTTTTTAAATGTATATTAAATAAATAATAAGTCGGTAAACAGTGAAATTTCATACCTGCAGTTGCATTGAGCACATGTACATTAATAGACGCTGGAACAGCATTAGAAGGGCTACATGTGTAATTTCCATTATGGCTCTTATCTGCTTCCTGGACTTGAATAACACTAGAACTTCTACCATCTTTGACAAAAACCCCAGGGTCGTAATTGATCATTCTCTGCTCGTGAAACCAGAAAACGTATTCCGGTGTTTCGGTGGAATCTGTCAGAGTGCAAACAAGTCGAAGACGCGACCCTGAATGGACGTAGAGATCTGGAGCGCCTTGAATTTCAGCTAGTGCTTCTGTAACAAGGTAGAAAAAGAATAATTTAATAAAAAATTGGATTACCAGTTCGTTGATATTTAATTTTTTTTTATTAAAATGAACATATTTGTTTACGGAACCAAATTGTGAGTTGCCAGTTTTGCCCGGGCTCAAACGGTGTGTTTGGTATTATTCTAACATTTAGTTTTTAGTCGTTTCACCTATTCGGAGAAAAACTGTATATTTATTTGGTATATGGAACGAATGTGACAACAATACATTAAAAAACCACGAACGAAACAGCATACCGACACACACACTAATAGAAATATTGCAAACTGGCGTATTAATATTTATAGAAACAAAACTCGATAAGTGTTGGTTTTTTATTTTCGAGAAGAAAACATTGTGATGCTTTTTTGTTATCCAATGTAATGTAATGAGTTTTAGTTTTAATAAAATTATAGTTAGTCGTTGGTTATGACTTTTAATAATTAGATGTACTAAAATCCCTAACATAAGTTGATAAACTGCATTGGATGGAAAACAATATATTTCGTTAACACAGTTCCAGTTTTGTTAAAATTTTGTAATGGTTTGGTAGTTGGAAGCTGGAAATTTGTTGTTGGGTTCACACCGGTGATAAAATTATATTGAACAATAATTCATGGCTGGGGTACGTCGAATGTCTTACCTACTTACTTATTAAGCTATTGCATAGCTTTTATCGCGGCAACCGAATCAAGAAATTCCGTAACGAAAAACCTAACACCCCCCACTCCGACCGGCACAACGGTGCGGCGTTAAACAATATTTTCATTTATTAAATAAAAGAAAATCTAAAAATCGAAAAATAAAAAAATAAAAAAATAAAAAAATCGAAAAATCGAAAAATCGAAAAATCGAAAAATCGAAAATCGAAAAATCGAAAAATCGAAAAATCGAAAAATCGAAAAATCGAAAAATCGAAAAATCGAAAAATCGAAAAATCGAAAAATCGAAAAATCGAAAAATCGAAAAATCGAAAAATCGAAAAATCGAAAAATCGAAAAATCGAAAAATCGAAAAATCGAAAAATCGAAAAATCGAAAAATCGAAAAATCGAAAAATCGAAAAATCGAAAAATCGAAAAATCGAAAAATCGAAAAATCGAAAAATCGAAAAATCGAAAAATCGAAAAATCGAAAAATCGAAAAATCGAAAAATCGAAAAATCGAAAAATCAAAAAATCGAAAAATCGAAAAATCGAAAAATCGAAAAATCGAAAAATCGAAAAATCGAAAAATCGAAAATCGAAAAATCGAAAAATCGAAAAATCGAAAAATCGAAAAATCGAAAAATCGAAAAATCGAAAAATCGAAAAATCGAAAAATCGAAAAATCGAAAAATCGAAAAATCGAAAAATCGAAAAATCGAAAAATCGAAAAATCGAAAAATCGAAAAATCGAAAAATCGAAAAATCGAAAAATCGAAAAATCGAAAAATCGAAAAATCGAAAAATCGAAAAATCGAAAAATCGAAAAATCGAAAAATCGAAAAATCGAAAAATCGAAAAATCGAAAAATCGAAAAATCGAAAAATCGAAAAATCGAAAAATCGAAAAATCGAAAAATCGAAAAATCGAAAAATCGAAAAATCGAAAAATCGAAAAATCGAAAAATCGAAAAATCGAAAAATCGAAAAATCGAAAAATCGAAAAATCGAAAAATCGAAAAATCGAAAAATCGAAAAATCGAAAAATCGAAAAATCGAAAAGTCGAAAAATCGAAAAATCGAAAAATCGAAAAATCGAAAAATCGAAAAATCGAAAAATCGAAAAATCGAAAAATCGAAAAATCGAAAAATCGAAAAATCGAAAAATCGAAAAATCGAAAAATCGAAAAATCGAAAAATCGAAAAATCGAAAAATCGAAAAATCGAAAAATCGAAAAATCGAAAAATCGAAAAATCCAAAAATCGAAAAATCGAAAAACGAAAAATCGAAAAATCGAAAAATCGAAAAATCGAAAAATCGAAAAATCGAAAAATCGAAAAATCGAAAAATCGAAAAATCGAAAAATCGAAAAATCGAAAAATCGAAAAATCGAAAAATCGAAAAATCGAAAAATCGAAAAATCGAAAAATCGAAAAATCGAAAAATCGAAAAATCGAAAAATCGAAAAATCGAAAAATCGAAAAATCGAAAAATCGAAAAATCGAAAAATCGAAAAATCGAAAAATCGAAAAATCGAAAAATCGAAAAATCGAAAAATCGAAAAATCGAAAAATCGAAAAATCGAAAAATCGAAAAATCGAAAAATCGAAAAATCGAAAAATCGAAAAATCGAAAAATCGAAAAATCGAAAAATCGAAAAATCGAAAAATCGAAAAATCGAAAAATCGAAAAATCGAAAAATCGAAAAATCGAAAAATCGAAAAATCGAAAAATCGAAAAATCGAAAAATCGAAAAATCGAAAAATCGAAAAATCGAAAAATCGAAAAATCGAAAAATCGAAAAATCGAAAAATCGAAAAATCGAAAAATCGAAAAATCGAAAAATCGAAAAATCGAAAAATCGAAAAATCGAAAAATCGAAAAATCGAAAAATCGAAAAATCGAAAAATCGAAAAATCGAAAAATCGAAAAATCGAAAAATCGAAAAATCGAAAAATCGAAAAATCGAAAAATCGAAAATCGAAAAATCGAAAAATCGAAAAATCGAAAAATCGAAAAATCGAAAAATCGAAAAATCGAAAAATCGAAAAATCGAAAAATCGAAAAATCGAAAAATCGAAAAATCGAAAAATCGAAAAATCGAAAAATCGAAAAATCGAAAAATCGAAAAATCGAAAAATCGAAAAATCGAAAAATCGATAAATCGATAAATCGATAAATCAAAAAATTGAAAAATCGAAAAATCGAAAAATCGAAAAATCGAAAAATCGAAAAATCGAAAAATCGAAAAATCGAAAAATCGAAAAATCGAAAAATCGAAAAATCAAAAAATCAAAAAATCGAAAAATCGAAAAATCGAAAAATCGAAAAATCGAAAAATCGAAAAATCGAAAAATCGAAAAATCGAAAAATCGAAAAATCGAAAAATCGAAAAATCGAAAAATCGAAAAATCGAAAAATCGAAAAATCGAAAAATCGAAAAATCGAAAAATCGAAAAATCGAAAAATCGAAAATAGAAAAATCGAAAAATCGAAAAATCGAAAAATCGAAAAATCGAAAAATCGAAAAATCGAAAAATCGAAAAATCGAAAAATCGAAAAATCGAAAAATCGAAAAATCGAAAAATCGAAAAATCGAAAAATCGAAAAATCGAAAAATCGAAATATCGAAAAATCGAAAAATCGAAAAATCGAAAAATCGAAAAATCGAAAAATCGAAAAATCGAAAAATCGAAATATCGAAATATCGAAAAATCGAAATATCGAAAAATCCCACACGAAAAACCACACACTCCGACCGGCACAGCGGCGCGGCGTTAATAGCCGTGCATCGTCTTACGTCGTTTCAGTTCGGCAGACTTCGGCACGGTGTTTGTGTGCGTGCGACTAGACGTATGCGTGTAGACTAGCTGCTAACTGCTTATAACTGATTCTACCTCTTTTAGACACAATTTCGGAAAAAATTAATTTGAAAATGGATAATGATTCACGAGAATCCACAACAAAATATGGCACCACCATTAACGCAGTATTTTCCAGATATTTAGAGGATATCAAGTCTCAAACTTATGTTTCTTATTTCAGTTACCATAAACCTATAGTTTCAATGATAAAAATTCCTGAATAACCTACATGTATTGTAAGATAATAAAAATATTTATTCAATATCTTATTGGTTTTCTTATCGGTTACCACGCTCAAAAAGTGTAACTTGAATTTATATTAAAGAAAGAACTTGAATTAATATCAAAGAAAAAAAATACTGCATAAATAAAATAAATAAATCATTATAATTGTATAAGTTGATAAAAAGTGCTATGCAATAGCTTTACCGCGGCAGTCTCCGAGTGCCACATGTATTTTTGTTTTCTTTTTTATTAAATAAACTTGGATTGAATTTGTGCAAGTAGGGGAGAGAAAAGGAGGGTTCGGCCGTTTTTTTTTTATTTCTTAAATATGTAAGAATTATTTTATTTTCTATACAAATTTAATAAGTTTAATTTTTCAAAACACTCAATATTTAGACGTACAAAATATTTATCTTCCAAAACAGTCACAGCCTATGTTAATGTTAACACTATTAAGATATGGAGGTATTAAATTACAGATAAGGAAACTAAGGGTAACATATTAAGTAGACACAAAAGTAAGATCACTTGAAATTTGAATTAGTTGCTTTGTGGAGCAAAATTAAAGTTCGTTTTATTTATAAAAATAAACTTAGTGACTAATTATAATTTCTGTGAGTGTTTTTTTGCTGAATAAAGTCACTGAGTTATTATGTTTTATCATTTAGTTTTGTTTTAATATGTGTTATTTCGTATTTCGTAAATTCTATTACCCAATTACTACCCACCAACCTATTATAGTAAATTTTGTAAATTATAAAGTAAATATATTTTGTCAAGTATTGTGAGAACCTTATATCCTAAATTAACAGTGTTGTATTAAATAACTAAAACTTATTTGACAATTAACTTATATTTTGTTTTCCTCTACGAGATGTATTTGAAAGTAAAATAAGTTACATTATCTATTCTGGCGTAGTAAATTGCGGTTAGTATATGCGTTTATTTTAGGATTGCTGTGGTCAGTTTTCCAGGGGCGCCTTACCATAGCTGGTGCGGGCTAGTAGCATTGCGGTCGATGTGCTAGTAATGGCCCGATTTGTATATTGATTGATAGTTTGGGCGTTGCGGCCAGTGTCAACAGAATAAAGAATTGAACGTTGTGTAAATATATTTTTTAGAAGCAATATTTTGATTTAAAGAAGTACTAATTTTATTTTCTCGGTAATTAAAAGGATAATAAATATTTTGTTTACGAGTATTAACTTTTTATAACTTTCTTCAATATAAAACTGCTTTTGGTAAACTTGATTGCAAATACTTTTTTTTTCTTTTTATTTCAGGTACTCATCTCATACGTGTATTAATTAAGAATTTATTTAATTTATATTAATAATATTTTATTTACATTTTATTGTTTTAATTATTTATTACTTATTTATATCTAATTTTATTTTGTTTTAAATTTTACCTTCCTATTTAAATTCTTTATTAAAATAATATGTAGTATTTCCTGACATTGATTAAATAACTAAATATTTTCGCCTAAGTTTACAATAGATATTTTTTAATTACAAATATCT